ATGTTGTTTATTCATTTTAGCAGCTAGTACTTACTGAGCACATATTTTGTTTTCCCATGCCCCTTTGACCCTGCTTCTACTATGGCATTGAGGGCCTTCTCCGGTGACATCTTCTACATATGGCAGGTCCCTGGAGAGCAGAGGAACCATGGCTGGCCTCTCTCTCTCTCTCTCTCTCTCTCTCTCTCTCTCTGTTTCTCTCTCTCTCTCTCTCTCTCTCTCTCTCTCTCTCTCTCTGTTTCTCTCTCTCTCTCTCTCTCTCTCTCTCTCTCTCTCTCTCTCTGCTTCTCCTGGCTCCTCTTTAGATCATAAGGTGGCCTTTTGTTTTCTCTTTCTTCCTCTTCTTCTTCTTCTCTTCCTCTTCTTCTTCTTTTCTTCCTCTCCCCATCTCCTTCCCCTCCCTCCCGTCCTCCTTTGCCTCCTCCTCCTCTTCTCCCTCTCCCTTTCCCTCTCCCTCTCCCTTTCTTCTCCTTCCTCTTCTCCTTCTGCAGTGGGGCTATCTGGCTCTCCCCCTTCTACCTGGGTCCTGGCAGCCTGGCTGAGAGCCCAGTACAGTTTCTCGCTTTTACCCCTGTGGTCAGCAGCAGCACATAAAAAGCAGTTGTCTGTGCGCTTTGGAATTTATTTGGGGGAAATTTCACGCTGTTTCTTTCTGAAGTGGAAAAGGAGTCAAAGGTGAACCCTGGCCAACAAGCCGTGTGGGAGGAAATGCTTTGCAGTAAGGGAGGCTCTTAGCTCTCAGGCTGTTTTTACCGAATAGAACACAGACTCTCATCCCAGACTAGGGACTTGGGACACCCCTGCTGATCTTTCTCTTTGGGTGCAGACACAGGACCTCACCGACCCATCTTCTTAGCTTTTACAAGCTAGTGTCTGTACCAAAACAATGACAATCCCTCCCCCACGTGCTAGGAAACATCACACGCTCAGTTTTCAGCCCAGCCACAGTATACACACAGAGACAGAAGAGAGATGCAAATTTAAACCGAGAACGACTGTCTTGTACAAAACTTTGCATATTGCAAAGATTCCAGCTATTCATTAGAGCACCATAATGCTCAGTCACATGCTGTTAAAATCCAAATCAGGTTTGTACAGCCCTTCGTGATGCTACTATACATTTTTTACAGACTACTGTGCAAACAGGAAGTTACTCCATGGAAAAGAGCCTGGTTCTCATGGGTCCAAATTTAAGTGAGATAACCTAGGCAGAGTGCTTAGCAGAGTAACTAGAACATAGACAGCTCACAATGAAAGCTTTCCACCTGCTGATGCTGGAGGACCGATCTTGTGGATGGAAGCAAATCCATCTTAGATTTAACAGTCTGTCCCACCTGAGAAAGGGAAGTACCCACCCACCCCTTTCATGCACTCATTGACTTTCAGGCTAGGTGACTGGCAGAAAGACTGTATTAGGAGATGAAGCAACTAATCTGGGCATTTGTGCTGATGGGAAATAACTAAAGGGCATCTAGAGACCCACTGACTGACAGAGTGAAAACTTCCAGTCACTCTAGACCCCAGAGTAATTTTCAAAAACCCTTTTAACCTTTTTAGGGTCCAAATGCAATACCATAAATGGGCATCCTACAAATCTTATCCCTCTGATGTCCAATCTCAGTGTTCGTCTTGTTCCCTTAATCCATACTGTCTAGCTGCTGACACTTTGTCCTATATAGGGAAACAACAAGGCAATTTACAAAAGGGGTGGTTTCTATTTAATTATATTGTTTTCAAAGCTAGATGATCATAGGTTATCTATCCAGCTCAGAAAGGCTGCTGTCCAAAGACACCTCTTTCCCTGGCCTTCTAAGCACAACGTGGCATATTTCAAAGGAATTCTGGATGGCACAGCACAGCGGGCCCAGTGTGATCTCAAGCAACCTGAAGGAAGTGATGTGTGTTGCCCCACACTGTTCGGGAGGAGAAGTGTTTGAGGGGACACATCAGGCACAGGGCAGGGAAAGAGGATTTTTAAGTAGTTAACATATTTACATCGTTCAAATTTAAAAGGTCCTTCCTTCCTAGAGATAATGAATATTATTAGATTTTATGTCTCTAGTTATACCCTTCTCTTTTAAAACATAAAAAACAGCATAGCTTAAATATTATATACATATCCTTTTTTCCACCCAGCCATATACCTTGGAAAACATTCCATTCCAATTATATCAAGAAATTCCCAGTTCTTTTTCTACGGTTAAATAGGACAGTATTTGACGATCTGGAGGTACAAGCCCCTTTTGATAGTGCATGGGTTGTTCTTTCATAGTTCAAAGGGTCCTGCAATGTATGTGTGTCTTTGTGCCCATACACAAGTGTAGCTGCAAGTTAAATTCCTAAAAATGGAAACCCTGAGTCAGAGGGCACAGGCATTTCTAATTCGGACAGGAGTTTCCAAAATGCCTTCCAAAGAAGTTGTACCAATTTTCTCTCCTGCTGCAGATACACAAAAGTGCCTGTTTTTTTAGAACCTCATCAACAGTTTATTAATCTTTTTATTACTTGCTAATCAAAAGATAAATACGTTTCTTGTTATAGTTTTCACTTCATACATAAGGCAAATGAAGGGCAATCCAGTTTTCCTAAATTCTAATAGTCACAAACATTTCTTGGATCTACAAATAACAAACTAAGTGTTCTCAGTGGGAGGAAAGTGGCCTTGTGAAAAAAGCAGGGCCAGAGAAACCGGGGCTCTCTGTATAGCTCTGCCACTTACTAGCTCTGTGATCGTGACAAATTATTTAATGACCTCAAACTCAGTCACTTTCTATGAAAAATGGAGTTCATCCTACTGACTTTGCAAAACCTTACAGCTGGCACACAAAAGGTACTTAATAATGATACTTAATAAATGATAACAGCTTTTATTAGTGTTAATCACCAGGTCAGATTCAAACCTCAGAGCACTCTTCACAATTAATGGACCCCACAAATGCCCAGCCAGAACCAAATGGCTCTTTATAAGGCTTGCAGTAGATCCCAAGAATCACCCCAGGTCTTGAGTGAAGGCTGGGCTGTTCCTAGGCCAGGCTTCCCTGCTGCCAGATGATGTTTGTACAAAGACCATGGCAGCATTCATTTCCAATTACTGATGGGCAAGCCAGAGATAAAACAGATCCTTGGGCAAAACATAAAGGACTTTCTCTCTGCGGCACAACAGTCCACGTTGCCTGGCCTTTCCAAAACACTATCTTCGTGGTCACAGAAGACAGATCTCTAGTCTAGCAAGAATGTTACCAGCCAGAACAACTAGGTTTCTATTCATGCATGTGACCCTGCCACATTTTTTCCAGTCAGGAATGATTCTATTTCATTTCATCCCCAGGATGGTGGACATTATGGCCCCTTAATTGAATGGTGAACTGTGAGGAGAGGTTGCTGCCAACCTGCATAACACCACCACAGCGGAACCATAAGAGGGCCACATTCAGTTTCTCTCTGAATGCTAATATGACATACACATGCATATATGTATTAGCCAACGTCGTGTCTATATATGTAGTAGCTTAGGTCCTCTCCAGCATGAGAGCCAGAACCTTTGGAGAGAAGTCAGAGAAATGTCAACCATTTTCAGAGAATGTGCCTCTGCTTTCTCCCCTTTGGTCCACCTCTGGCAGTTTGCAGAAAGGAGATGGATCAGAATCTGTTGCTACCCAGTACTTCATTAGTAGAGACAGAAAGCTGCCTTTCACCCCATAGAACTTCAAATCCTAGTAAATCTCAGGCAAAGTGAATGCACAAGATCTGAAAGTCCCTCATGGCTGTCTCTTGCAGGGTGTAACACATGCGTGATTCCGAAGCTGAAAGACCAAACGCGGCCCAGAGATCAGCCGAGCATACATCAATCCCTGACACTCATACCGGTTTCCCTAGAATCTATCCTCCACCCTGCCCATGAGAACCCCATCCCAGGTGGTCGATCCAGGCCAACAGGGGGTCCGAGGGTGGGAGGGGGGACAGTAGCTGCACCGACTGGAATGTGCCTCAAGGATGCACCTGAGCTTGGGGGTGGGGTACCTGAGCCCCCACCACATCAAAGCGCAAACTTCCAGCCGGCTACACTTCGACGCAGAGAATAGGAATTTCCGTGTGCGAGAGAAAAACCTGGTAGTGTAAAGTAGATCGTGGGTGCTGACAAAGATCTGCGTCCCTTCCCTGTCTCCCTGTCTCCCGCGTCCTAGAGCTCGGAAGAAGCCACGGTTCCAGGAGGTCTCCTGAAGCGCCATTCCACGCCAGCTAGACTCGGGGTGACCGGACCGAGCGGCAGGATGCCCCGCTTATCTCCCTGCTCTCGCTGCTTTGGTGCCGCGGAGCGCGGGCTTCCCCACGCCGTGAGCCCAGAGCGCGCCAGCCCTGCAGCCGCGCCCTCGGAGTCCAGGGCGCAGGAGCCGGCGGACTGCGGTCCCGGGCAGGGTCCGGATTTTGTGTCCTGTTGGTGTGGTGCAGGGGTCCGCCCTCGGCTGTCCTGGCCCCAAGCTCGCGGGCAGAGACGCCAGTCTACGTAAGACCCATCGTTCGGCGTCCCGCTGGAACCCCGAAAGCACCTCTGCCCTCATTATTTAAAACTTCAGGAAAATCACCAGCAAGCCAAGCCCAGGCGGCAGGGCTACCTGAAGTCGCGCGCAGACACCTGGAGGGACGCACAGATCGACGGTTGGATCTGCAACCCTGCACCACCCACGCCAGGTCTCTGCTACGGTGACCGGGTGCAGCCTCCCGAGTGGCGCGCTGCAGGGTCCCCGGGTGGTCGCGGGCGCCCAGGCAGTGGCCGCGTCCCCGTGAGCTCTGGCGGGGGTGGGTGGGGGGCACTGCAGAGCGATTCGCGAGGACAGGCGGATCGGAAGGGGATCCCGCCGTCCGGCCCCGAGGCGAGGCACCTGCATCTGCGGCCTGTCCTCGAGCCTGGAGGCTCCCTCGGAGCCTGCGATCCCGACCGGTCCGGCACCACCCCGGCCAAGGTGGGGGCTGGCGCAGGGAGGCGGCTCCCGCGCGCTCACCTGGGTGCAGAGGCGGCCTCGAAGGTGCTCCCCGGCCGGCACCCCGGCGCCCGCGGCCCCGCCCTCCGCCTTCCTCCGGCCGCGGCGCAGCTGCTCCTCCGCCGGCGGCTCCCGCGCTGTCCCCACCGCTCTGCGCGCGTCCTTCCGGGCCGGCGGCGGGAGGCCCACGTGAGGCTCCTCTGCCCTCCCCGGCGCGGGCTCCAGCGCTGGCCGGCGGAGCCGAGCGCCTCATCGCTCCTCCAGGTGGCCGCGCTGGGGGCAGGTACCCAGAGACCTGATTGGCGCTGGCCGGAATCCTGGAGAAGCCCCAGCCAGGGAGGCGAAGGAGCCGCAGCCAAGAGAGGGGTGCCGTCCAGGGCGGGGCGCCCCAAAGACCCTTCCTGTGCTCCGCCGCCTCTTTGCCTAAGAGATGCAAAGTCGGGGTCAGGCGCCCTGAGGATGGTCGGTGCTGCCGCTGAGGCCCAGCTCTGGGGACCAGAGTGTGTCGCTGTCCACTGGAAAGAGACTGCCTGGACAGCCACCCCAAAGGCTCATCTGTTTTCCTGTTTCCGGCCCACACTGGTTGTTGGAAGCCCAGGGACACCTGGATGACCCTGCCATTGAGTCCCTGTGCGCCTGCTGTGGTGGTGAGGGCCTGTGGGAACCGACGCCTCCACACAAACAGAAACATTAGCGTGTTTTGAACTTCGGACCTAAAGTCACCCTCCTTTAATGTTTTAAAATTTTGTGGGTTACCAGTGTGCTGTGCACCAAACACGTTCCCATCTCAGGAACTCAGAGAATCAGGACAGGTTGAGATGAAAGGAACGACTCTGGAGTGCTTTCAGAACCTGAAGGTGAAGCTTTCACCTTGCTTCCCAGGCTTGGCGGGATGGAAGACCAGGAGAAGGTAGAAGTGAGATTACTCGGGATAAACCCAAGGAAAGTGTTTCCATTACACCAAAATGTTTTCCTCTTTGCCCCCAGGTGGGAATTCAAGGCAGAGGAAATCACGCCAACCATTTGAAAAACAAGACCAAAACACAAACAAAGATAAAATCCTCCAAAACATGAAAATCCGTGAACCCACATCGGAGAGGAATAAGAAATGAGAGAATCTTCAGTGTTCCTAACTGATCATCATCATTGTTCCTTAAACAGACGTTCCGAGGCAGACTGAGCCCTAGACATTCCTCCGGGCGTCCATGGCTTCAGGGCTCCTCTGTCTTCATCCTCTCTGCCTTCACAGGTTTTAAGTGTGGAACTTATTTTCACGTACGGCCTTTTCTTAGCACAGTCAAATCTCACACCGCAATTCCTCTCTCATCTCTTCTCAAAGGCAAAACAACGAAATAGGACAGGGCTGTGATTTCACTATTAACTGTTAGCCAGAAAAGTGAAGACACTGCATATGGCAGCCTAGTGGGTCATTGTGGACCACACACCTGTGTGAGCACCACCCAGGTTATTGCCAGCACCCCAAAGCTGCTCTTTACCTCTTATTCCTTTTCCTAAGTCCTTCCCTCCCTGCTAAAGTAACAACTACCCTGACTTTAAGGCAATTCTCCCTTATGTGTCTTTAGAATTTTACCAATTTGTAATGCATTCCTAAACACTATAGTTTTGCTTGTTTTAAAACTTTCTATTAATCACCACAGTGCAAGTACTGTTGTAAATGTCTTGCCTCTGCTTCATTTGGTTATGTTTGTGGAAGACATCCACTTTTCTTGCCTGTAATTGTAGCTAATCATTTTCATCACTGCTTATTATTCCCTTGGATGAACTCTGATACTGCAGACATTTGGATCTTTCTAGCTTAGGGCTAAACAAATAATACTGCTAGTGACATTTTTGGGTATGTGTCTTGGTATAGAAGTGTAAACTTTTCTTTAGGGTGCATGCTTTAGAGTTGGATTGCTAGGCTACATGGTATGCTTATATTTAGTTTTATTAGAAAATGCCAAATTATTTTCCAAAGTGGTCATAAAATCTACATTCCCACTGGTGATTTATAGTAGCTCAAGTTGCTCCACATCCTTGCCAAAACATATTGTAAGATTTCTTTTTTTTTTCCCAGTCAATGTGGTGAGTGTATAATAGTAACTCATAGTGATCCTCATTTCATATTCCTAATTACTAATGAAGTTGGCCACTTCTACATGAGTTTAAAGATATTCGATTTTCCCATCTTTCAAGTGCTTGTTCAGATATTCACTCATTTTTCTATTCAATTGTGTGACATTTTCTTATTGATTAGTAAAATATCATCATCCATTCTGACTATCTGCCTTTGTCAACTTTAGATTGAAAATATCTCCGATTTGGCTGCCAGAAATGATACAGAGACAGTTTCCCCAGTGATGGCACCTTGATAAATGACAGTACAGCCTCACAGCTCGGATACTGACCCTGACACAATTAGGATCCAGAACTTTTCTACCACGGCAAGAGTCCTCTATTGGTCTTCTGTCACCACATGTACTTCCCTTCTACGCCTCTCCTCAGCCTTAACTTCTAGAACCACTTACTTTTTCTGTTTCCATTTCCAAAATATTGCAATTTTAAGAATATTGCATCAATGAAATTGTACCATAGGTAACCTTTTGGATTGTTTTACCCTGCTCAGCATAATTTCTCTGAAGAGTCAACCAGGTTGTTTTGTGTTATAGTTTAAAATTTTTAAAAAGTAAGTGAATGAACGAATGAATGAATGAAGTCTCCCAGAGCCTCGTGCGTTGGGAGGTGGGGCTTTTAGAAGGCAGTTGGAGGGCCGGAGATTTAGCTCAGTGGCATAAGCACCTGCCAGGCAAGCGTGAGGTCGTGAGTTCAATCCCCGGTACATAGAAGGTAGTTGGATCGTGGGAGAACTATCTTCATTTATGGTTCATTCACTGATGAATCCATAGTTAAATGTGGAGGTCAGGAGAGGAGGTTCACTGGCCTCCTTCTCTCTCTGCTTCCTTGTCACCCTGATGTGAACCACTGTCCTCTACTATGCCCCTCTGCCATGCCATTTCTGCCTTGGAGCCAGCTGACTGTGGACTGGTAAGCACGGGCCAAAATAAATCTCCCCTCCTTTAAGTTGTAGGCGTCAGGTTTTATTGTCCCAGTGCTGAAGGAAGTGACTAGGATATTGTGTGTATTGTTATTTCATTTACTTTATTACTGAACAGTGTTCCATACTATGGCTCTTTCACTGCTTGTTTAGCTCATTCGCCTATTTGAGGACATGTGAGTTCCTCTCCCAGTTCTGGGCTACTGCAAGTAAACATTTATGTATTGGTTTTTGTGTAAATATTTTCTTTTTTTTTTAAATTTTATTTAAGGAGAAAAAGAAGTAAAAGCAGAGAAAGGGTACAAGTTATACAGATTTACAGAAAAAAATAAACAGTAGGAAATCACTAGTTAATGGATTACATATTGTCATCTTAGAAAAAGTTGTTCAAGTTACAAAATTAAAGCTTATAAAGTGGACACTGAGACTGCAAACAGTTCTGTTCAATGATCCAACAAAACTCAGTAATATTATCTATCTTAAACACTTACATATACATGCAGTTATATCGTTTAGAGCACTTTCTTTTCCTCTCTTTTGTACAATGACAATTACACATTTTGGGTTTTGTTGCTCCCACAGTTCTTACTACTTTTTTGGAAGAGAGTAGAACCAAATGTGACATAACAGAACAGAGTCAGTCAAATCAAAAGGGTGGACATAATAGATAATGTAAAAGCATAATACAAGGTGATCAACAATGGTTACCATAATGCCTTCCGCTATCTCTAATAGAATTGCCTATATCATCAGTTATTATTATACAAAACAGTAAAGAACAAAACCAACAAAACCAAAACATTGGAGATATTATAGGTCTTCAAAAGTAGATAATAGTCAACCAGAATGGGCGTCATAATGATTCCCACTATCTTCACAGCTGTTGCCTAAACTTTCGAACCTGGTACTATCAAGCAAAACAGAATAGAGGAACATCAGTCAAAACAAGATGGTGAGAGCAATACAGGGCTTTAAATCAAGATAGTGGAAAGCCGGGGCTGGGGGTTTAGCTCAGTGGCATAAGCGCCTGCCTTGCAAGCAGGCAGTCGTGAGTTTGATTCCTGGTACCGAAAAAGACAAAAAAAAAAAAAAAAAAAAAGATAGTGAAAGTCAAAGTGGGTTACTATAACATATCCTGCTATTTTTTAATTTATTTTTCCCTTAATTAAAAGGATAAAAATAAAAAAGTAAATAATAAAATGGAGATTGAGATAAAAGAGGGCATAACAGCAAAACAACGCTGATCAAAATATAACCATTTAAGCAAAATAGTGTTTCACCACAAGATAATCCCAACATAAAAGTAGTTACCATATTGTCTCTTTCCTTGAAATCTTTGAGCATAGCTTCATATACTGTAGCATCAAATATATCAAAACAATGTAAAACCGTTTAAGAGAATGACAATATTACAGGATATTTAGAATCAACTAACAGAAAATGAACAATGGTTTCTGTATAATCTCCTTGTCTATAAAAGTTTTTGCTTATACTATCATATATAATAAAATCCAATAAGATACAACCTGTTTAGACCAATGGAGACAGAAGAACAAAGCTTGATGAGACTTCAAAACAAGATGATACTAAATCAGTATTACCTATTAAGACATCATTTTCTCCAAAATAGCTGTTCCTATCATCCAATCTTTTCTGCCTCATTTCTGTTGAGCTCTTTTTCTGTCATTAGTTGTCAGTTTGTCTTCTTCATTGTGTTTTCTGCTCCATTCATTGTGGCCTCTCTGCCACTATTTCTGGATTCTTCGTATTTTTCTTTTTTAGAATATCCTGCAGTATTCTCTGCAGAGTTGAATTGGTGGTTGCATATTCCCCTAGTTCCTCTTTATCCTGGAAGCACCTTGTTTTTCCATCAATTTCAGGGATAGTTGTGCAGGATATATCAATCTTGGCTGGAGATTATCTTTCAAAGCTTGAATTATTTCCTCCCATGCTCTTCATGATTTGATGGTTTGTGCCGAGAAGTCTGCTGTAATTCTGATGGGTGTTCCCTTGTAAGTGATCTGTTTCTTGTCTCTGATAGCTTTTAATATTCTGCTCTTGTATTGGATTTCTGGAATTTTAATTATTATATGCCTGAGCATTGCTCTGGTGGTTGGGGTCCTGTATGCTTCATACAACTGAGTATCTTTACCTTTTGCTAAATTAGGAAAATTCTCCTGGATTATTCTGTGAGTAGCTTTTGTAGTTCCTTTGTTTGTGTCCCTACTTCTTCTTTTATGTTCTTAATTCTTAATTTATAGATCCTCTTATCATCTTCTAGTCTTTGTATTATTGCTGTTTGTTTCTTTAT